GGCATCTAGATGTTGCCAGGTCTTCATAAATTATGAAATCTCAATGTAATAATGGTTGCCAACTAGTAATTTCACCTTATTTTCCTAAGAGTGACAACTACTGATTCAGTGACCACTACTGATTCATTACCTTAAAAATACGTTTACTGACGTTTCAATTTCCACTTCGGAAATCGTTCTCAAAATACAAACAGTAAATTAAACAAATTTTGTTTTTTGTTACATAGTGAAAAATTCTTCTAATAATTTAATTTTATTTGACTCATTTATATTGACAATTCAGACATACATTATGCATTTTAAAGTAGACGACTTTAAAATGATATTGCCAATATTGTCGAGTTGCGCTCCTGGGACGACTTTACTTATAAGATAGTTCATTCGATTACATGAAATCAACTTTAACTTGAGAATATCCGTCAGAAAAAAATCATAGCATGTAATTCGTCTTTAAAAAGACAAACACATGACATGATGACAGTAAAATTCTGCTGTTAGTGATTCCATAGTAAATTATGAGGGAAAAACCAGGAAAAAAACCTCATAATACTATCCCGACATGGTAAGTATTTGTTCGTGCATTTAGTTTACCTTCAATTAAACACCAAAATTCTGATTTTATGTTCCGTTATTTAAAAAACATAAATGATGTATCCTCTATATGTTACTGACATATTAATACTGGTATTTTCTTATTAATAACTTCCTCTTTCAATATTGGTAACCAGATCCTACTACATTCTGCCGAGGAATTTGCGACACAATTGGCCTCATTTAGCATAATTAGAGCCGCTTCTTTGATTTTTCTTTTTTTACCATCCGTTTCTTTTACGACTACATTTGAATTATTCCATTGAACCCTATGTTCATTATCACATGCGTGTTTACATATTTGAGATCTATCAAATTCTCTATTTTTAATATAACATTGATGTTCACTTATTCTGACATTTAATGGCCTTGATGTTTCACCTAAATAAAACTGATCGCATTCAAATGCAATTCTTTGTCCTTTCTTGTTCATTGTTAGGTTTGGTTTTGGACAAAATAGATCTCAACGTGTTTGTTGTTTTGAATGTTGTTGAAATATTTAATTTATTTCCTATCATTTTAAGTTTTTCTGATAATCCTTTTATGTACGGTATTGTTATTTTCCTCGTATTATTCCTTGTGTATGCTGTAGGATCTCGTTCTAAGTTGATCTGTTTTATTCGATCGATTGTTGAAAATCCCTTATTTATAAACGATGGGGGATAATCATTTTTTAATAAAACAGATGTTAACAAATGTTGCTCCTCCAAGAACGAATTTTCGTTAGAACAAGTAATTTTGGCTCTATCGTATAAGGATTTAATTATTACCTTTTTTACAATAATATTGTGATTTGATTTGAAATTTAAATATCTATTGGTGTGTGTTGGTTTTCTATACACCTGAGTCTCATATCCAGTATCGTTCTTAGAGATTAAAACATCCAGGAAAGGTAGCGTGTTATTATATTCCTTTTCCATGGTAAATGTTATTGTCTCTTCTTTATCGTTTATATCATTTAGGAATGTGTCGAACAACTCTGATTCATGAGTGGTGGATCTTTTTAACCCTTCGTCGGTAACGTGTTTCGAAACCAAAATTACTGTAACGCTGGGTCCCAGGGACCGAAAAATTAATCATGCTTTAAAATTTCTTTTTTTGTTTTTTACTTATTAAATAACTGAAAAGTTTAAACTTTTAACAATAAATTTTTTTTACGAATAACTTTTTGTGGGTTGTTTTTTAACTAATATCTTGCTAGTAAAAGAAGTTGAAAAAAGTGCTAATTGGTTTAATTACGGTTTTATTAAAAAAAAAAATAAAGGTAGGAACAAAAAAACATTTGTGCTAATAAAGAGTAATATTTAAAGTAAAAGTGATACTAACATTAAGCTACCGTCAAAAATAAACTGAAATTATTCATCTACATTATGGTCATGAAACAGTCACCACACAGTCCATGCGAATGTTCTACACAGATAAATCCGTTGCAAACTTCACACCTAAACCTAGTTTTAAGGTTTTTTTTGTTTCGCAATTTTTACATCTTCCATGGATTTTATTTTGATCTAGTGGATCAGCTTGGACCTTGAGGCCAATGATTTCCTTTAGCCGCAATCGAAGAGCTCTGGGGAGGTTATCTTTCTGAGCTCTTCGCAAAAGGTGTTCTTGGACTAATTCATACCCCAGCAGTTCCAGAAATACACGCCGCTTCATAGATGACTGAGTATTGATTTTATAAATAAGATAAGAGTTAACTGCCGCTAGGTTGATCAGTTCAAAAATAAGACCAAAGGCCAACGTTGAGTTGATTTTGCACAATTTATACTCAGACATCTGATCAACACTATCTACCCCACCTTTAGTCTTATTATAATCCACAATCATTTCTTATTTACTTGTCTTTTTATCGATATTGTCATCGTGATGCATTGTGGATAATAATATTACATTTTTGTTTTTACGAGTTACGCAGGAAACTAGAGTAGCTTTTTCTTGAAACCCAAATATGAACTATGTTTTGGTCGTTTCAGAGAAGTTAGTTCTGCAGGAATTTGTGGTTTATTTTTTCTGGTAGTTCCTAAGATGGTAAGTTTAAATTCCTGTAATAACTTTTCGGCAACAGCTAAACTTGTAAAAGAATTATCCATGGTAATATTGCAATTAGAATTACGAACTGTAAACCCGAAATGAACAGTGCCCTCTAAATACTTAAATAAATTTCATCTAATGTTAGATATGCTGATGGATGAACATGTTTAGGAAGGTTTGAAACAAGTTCTTCAAAAATTTCTCTAAAGGCGACAAATTTATCAGTCTCTTTTCTTACTTCTTTAGTTATTTTGCTATCAAAGTAACATGTCATTGACATGCCATTGGTGCGAAACAAATCTTGATAATTTTGACGGCCACTTTTATTTGTACCGGATATATACAATAACCCTATGAAATCTTTAATTTCAGTTAGATCCGTAGTCTTGTAAATTCAAGATGTAATGTAATGTAAACAATAAATTCATTTGTATATTGCACTATTTTTTCCTTAGCCCTTTTAATATCACTCTTCGGTCCAGGTAAATGTGATATACGATTATGCTGGCTAGTTTTAATATTTGGTTTTTAGTCAACATGGTTTTTCCAGAACATGCCAGAATATCATTCTGGATCGTTTAGTTCATCACTTAAAACGACATCAAATAAACGTTGTAATCCTGTTCTTTTTCATAATTCATAATGAACTAATAAAGTTTTGAAATGTAAATTTCTCTACAAAACGTCGCCTAAGCACAACACAACACAACCGTAAAATATGTTCGTCGTCTGTAACGCTGCGTCCAATGGACCGATCACTACAAATACTCAAAATACAATAATCGTTTAACAGCGGTTTATAGCTGTCTGAATACAAACTACCACTTTCCGGGAATACCTAAAATGGGAGACTCCTAACCCATAGGCGGATGGAACAAAAAAACATTTTTTTTTCGGTCCACTAGACAATGCGTTACATCATCATCATCATCATTCAGCCCATACTCGTCCACTGCTGAACATAGGCCTCCCGTAGTTCACCCCACAAATTTCTGTCCTGAGCCGCCTGCATCCAATTTTGATGTGTCCGTTTCAGGTCATCCGTCCATCTTGTTGGTGGTCGTCCTCTATTCCTAAAGGCATCTTGTCTGGGTCTCCACTCAAGAATGCGTTTTGTCCATCTGCCGTCCTTCGTTCTCGCGACGTGCCCTGCCCAGTTCCATTTTAAGGTTGATATTCTTTTGATTGCGTCGGTTACTCCCGATCTACGGCGCAATTCTGTGTTGGGTATTCGGTCTCTCAGGGTTAATCCCAACATGGACCGTTCCATTGCCCTCTGTGTTGTTCGAATTTTGTTTGCGGACGTCTTAGTAAGTGTTAGCGTCTCCGCACCATAGGTTAGAACCGGCAGCACACATTGATCGAAGACTTTTCTCTTCAAGCAGATGGGAAGAGCTGATTGGAAAACATCTCTTAGCTTTCCATAAGCTGCCCATGTCAACCCTATTCTACGTATTAGTTCATTGGTCTGGTTATCTCTACTTAAGCGAATTTCGTGTCCCAGATATTTGTATGCTGATGTTTGTTCTATACTTGTTCCAGCTATGTTGATGTTCTCACTCAGAACAAGGTTTGTCATCACTTGTGTTTTTGAGTTATTGATCTTTAAACCCACTTGTGTAGAGGCATGGTAGAGTCTTTCGCACATTTCGATGGCATGATCTATGCGGTCTGTTATCAGGACTATATCGTCCGCGAACCTGAGGTGACTAAGCTGCTCTCCATTTATGTTTATGCCCTTTTCGTCTAGGTTTGCACGCTTACACATGTATTCCAATAATGTTGTAAACAGTTTTGGTGAAATGGTGTCGCCCTGGCGAACTCCACGATGAATGTTGAACTTGTGTGTATCTTCATGGAGTCTGACGCATGCCGTGGCATTATCATAGATATTTTTGATGACAGTGGTGTAGCGGTGATCTATTCGGCACTCTTTTAAAGCTTCTAGCATTTTCTGGTGGTTTACTGTGTCGAATGCTTTCTCATAATCCACAAATATTAGGACGAGGGGTTTATTGTACTCTATACATTTTTCGATGAGGCTTTTAATAACTTGTAGATGGTCGTTTGTGCCGAAGCCTGACCTGAATCCTGCCTGTTCGCATGATTGGTAAAAGTCCATTTTGTTCGAAAGTCTGTTTGTTATGACTTTTGTAAAAAGCTTGTATATGTGTGAGATGAGGCTGATTGGTCTATAGTTTACGAGATTTGTTAAATCTCCTTTCTTAAACATTAGAATGATCACTGCATATGCGTTACATACGAAGGGTTAATTGTGCCACCCGTGTAACATGTCACAAAGTGTGTTACCATCCTTATTTAAATATTTAAAACTAAATTATTTGCATTGCATTATTGTAATTATTATTAATTTTCAGAATTTAGCGAGGAAACTAAAACAAGTAATGCCATAGCTTTCAAAAGATTTTACGATAGTGGACAACCCGTGACAGTACTTCTTGCAAAATCATCAGACCGATATAGGATTCAATCGTCATCGACGCTCTGTCAGATGTTGACAATTTGAATTGTCAATTTTTTTTTTTATGATTAAATTATAAACAATGAATTTTACTAAATACTACTACTAATGAACATTATTACTTTGTGAACAATAAATGATATTGTTTACAAATCGATCAATATAATGAAATGTACTCAGTTGACGAAATATCGCATAATGTTGTATTCAGGCAATAGCGCGACCTTTTCCTGCTACCGGATCTTTATTTAACGTAAGATTTCTAATCACTAAAATTTAATTCCAAGTTAAGTTTACAACAATTCAATGAATTCCAATATACTGTTACTGTGATCTTTATTCTAATAATAATATATGATAATTTCTAAACATAAAACTATAACAAATGTTATAATAAAACATGATAAAACATTTTTATTATTGCTTTTTTCTTCTCAACTGAGTACATTTTTAATCACTTAATTTTTTTTAACAATATAACAAAATTTTGGCCATTAAATCATAGGTAAATGTAATAAATATATTGATTTAAATATTGTCAAATATCAGAAACAATAATATGACAAAACGCAACACGTAATACACATTTTTTCACAGAAAAATTGTATTATATTTTAGCAAATATTTTGGAATACGTTTAAGTCGTAGAATAATTTTAACAGTTGTTTTACGATACATATTTGAGTCCTCTACAAATAGTTTCCCATGACTTTTGGTGATAACATAATTAGGGAAGCAGGAATTCACAATTTAGAATTTCCCATTGAGTTTCTATGGCCCGTTTGACGATTCACCACCCTGTATATATATTATATATAATATATATATATATATATTATATATATATATATATATTATATAAAAACCCTAACCGTCTAATTAAACAAAACGTTTTTCGGAATCCATATTCCATCATCATTGTCTAGAAGTACATGAATGTAGCCACTATATATATATATATATTATATATATAATATATATATATATATATATATATATTATATAATATATATATATATATATATATTATATATATATATCTATATATATATAATATATATAATATATATATATTATATATATAATATATATATATATATATATATATTATATATTATATATGGGTAAAAAACCCGTTAACAAATAATTAGTTACATTGGTATACAATATTTCTTATATTATGTATCCTCCGCAACCACTGGGCTTGTTCTACAGTCTGTAGACACACCGTCTCAGGACTAGCAACTTCAACGTGGAGTCATATGTCGCCATGTTACCTTATCCAACGGTAACTTTAACATCATAACATAATATAAGAAAATTTAATATATGATAGCCAACTACAGGAACGTAGATTCCTTATGGATTATTAACTGATTTGTTTATTTAATTATTGACCTTGATTAATTCATGTTAATTCTGCAAATTTTCTTATATCCTTATTTCTTGTGTTTTTATGTTTTGTCGTTGAAAGTTTTAGTGAAACTTAATGTTTTCATTTTCAACGTTTTTATAATAATTACGATCTTTTAGACCTGTTTTATCAGTGCTGTTCTTGGTCGATGTGTTAATACCGGTTATTTCACAGAAATTTCGTTTATTTAATAACTTGATAGTCCCTGAGATATCTCTGTCTGAGATCTCACGGAGCGTATTCCCGAAGTATTCCCAAAACGGTACACAGTACAAGTATGTTTCAACTGTATTGGCGGTAATTTCTAGGACCAGAAAAGATTCACCAAACAAAGCAGTGGCGTTCCAAAAAATACTGTTTATCAAACTGTTAAAGATTGGTACACACAATTTATTAAACAATGATATTAGATTATATTTTTGGCAATATTGTACTGCATTTTAATACATATTATAATATATCATCATACATATATTGTCTGTATGTAAAACCATAGATACATATTACAGATTACAGTATTAATAAATATTAATTAAAAAGATTGTTTTAAACTTTAAAACCTTTATTATTTTATATTATTACTCACTTAAACGTCACAAAGTTTAACTTGAAGAATATCCGAAATGATTGTAATAAAGTAACAAAATAATACATGTATACAGGACAGTTTGTCTTCTTCTTCTTCTTCGTGTGACTAGGATTACTCCTGTTTGTCTGCCTCTTATTCTGTTTCAGTCGTTGTTGACTGTACATTATCTTTCCACCTTTTTGGCGGCCTTCCAACGGGTCTTCTGCTATACGGTTTGTTGTTTTTACATATGTTCGCTAATCTATCTGGTCCCATTCGGTTTACATGTTCGTTCATTTTTTTTCTTGTTTTTATCCACTGTTAATATTTTGAATTTTGCATTGTTCGCGTATACTTCTGTTGGTTTGTCTGTCTCTTAATGATATGCTCGCTATTGATCTTAATACTTTCATTTCGATATTGTATTTGTTTTCGTCTTTCTTGTATCGGTCCTTGTCTCGCTGCATATGTTAGGATTGGTCTTACTGTTGTCTTGTATACTTTCATTTTGCTTTCCTGGTCAGATATTTGTTTCTCCATATGGTTTCTCGGAGGCAACCACTTACTCTTGCCGCTTTTGATGCTTGCCTTGTGGTTTCTGTTCTTATATCCCTGTCACTAGTGATCAGATTTACTGATCACTATACATTTAGTTTTTTCTACTGATATTCTCATATTAAGTTTGTTTGCTGTGATATTGAAGGTGTGGAGCTGCCTTTGTAGGTCATTTTCATTATCAGCATAGCACAGTATCGTGATTTTATGCGCTCCCATGTGGTATCCGTGTCGTTTTCTTACTTCGTGAATTATTTGATTTATCACCATATTGAATAACAATGGGCTGAACGAGTCTCCTTGGCGGATTCTTCCTTTTAGTTCTATGCATTATATTTATCCTGTTGGCATTATAGCTTTGGTCTTGTTATTCTTGTTAATTTCATTAATTGTCTTTATTATCTGATGGCCTATTTGTTTAGCTTGTAATAAATTTAAGATGTCATTTCGCTTCACCCTGTCCAAAAACACTTTTTAAATCTACAAAGCACATGTATGCTGGTTTTCCATATTCAATATACTTCTCTATTATTTGTCTGATAATAAAAATTGCGTTTATTGTGCTGCGGTTTGGATAATTGGGAAAACTTATATTCACATAGGTTACATAGGTACATCGTAAATGTTAAATTATAATATTCACTTTCATAACCAGATGCACTATCGTCGGCACTAAAATCATTTAAATCAATCATTAATTCTTTAGTAATTACATCTATGCGACGTTCACTTTTCAAATACTTATCTTCAACCTCGACATGTTCACACACTTTCTTCCAGTTATTTTCAGTTACTCTAGCAAATTCCTGTTCCACCAACACTTTTACGTCTTCTAACTTAAAAAAAAACCGTTTTATTTTGCAACTTCAATTTTTATTTGCGCCCAAACGATTTCTATAGGGTTTAAGTCTGGATGATATGGCGGAAGTTTTAAAGAGACATGTCCACATTCTTGCAGCACTCTTTCAAATTTATATTAAATATGATCTTGATTGTGTCGTTTGATGATTTCATACAAATGGGCTTTTAACATTGACGTTTCAAATTGTTAATTTTTTCTGTCAACCAAGATATTATATCCATTTTTTTAGAATTACTGGTTGGTGCTTTACTAATTTGTACATTATGATATGACGCATTATACTAAGAACAACATATCTAACAGGCAAATTGGGGATTAACTGTTCTTTCATCCCCATGATAATCTCTGTCTTAGCTCCTGACTTAAAAATCAAAAGGGCATTCTGTATGAAACCCATCTCTCCAGCACCATGTATGTTAACAACCTACTGCCTTTTGAAATGTTTTTGAACAATCCTTTGTCACTATCATCTGTCCATCTATTTGGCGTAGTGTGTCCTGAATGTACACTTGTTTCATCAACATATACAATTGACTTACCTTCACTTCTGTAATATTTCATTTTGTCCAAATATTTAATGCGTAAAGCACGAATATCATTCCGTTTAATTAATAAACGTCGATTATCTTTCGTTTTCTTCCATTTAAATCCCAAATCCTTCACAAGTCTGTAGAGAGAACTCACACTTCCAGTCCACTCGTACACCTCTTCAAACCTTTTCTGCAAAAGCTTCAATGATGCACGACAACGTTCAGTCTCATGGAAATGATGAATGGTATTTCTAATGGTATTTCTTAATTAATAACGGTATTTATTCATACTCCCTCAAGTCTGTCACGGTTGCTTTCCTTTTAGTAAGTGTTGTATCCGGAAATTTTAGTGTAATATTTGACTCTGCGTTTGTTAACATACTCGCTTGTTGAATTATCCTTTCTTCTGTACGTAAAGATACTCCAGTAGCTTCACTCAAACGTTGTTAATACTGGTTGGATTATCTTAAGGAAAGAGTATTTGCATATATTTAAAACATTGTAAACTATTCCTTTGAATTCTGGTGTCAATCTAATCTGTTTACTCGTACTACACTTAACCATCTCCATTCTACAAAATAGTTATAATATGTGTGGTAGCACCTTTCTCGTTGAGACTCGATAACATAATGAGACTAAATTACGAACTCGTTTGAAATCCAGTGACTAGAAATTCTCGGAAATAATTCCTATCAGTTCTTTGTATGTCCTTAACAAGTCGTTAAGGAGTCATTAATAATGACTTTATAATTACGGGTTTAAGGTAACTGATACTAAATTATAAATTAACTTTTATCAAACTTTATAGGGTATCAATTATTAAAGATGGTATCAAACAAATTATAACAAACAAAAAGTTTGGTAGCTATAAAACAATCTGTGTACAACCAAACTCCATTTATTATTTAAGTGAGTAATAATTTTGTAATTAGTGCGATTTCAAATAATTTAATTTGTTTAATATTGCAACGCCACTGCATGGGTCTGATCATAGATATTCCATTGTCTACGCGATTAACTATTTCGTGAGGGCTCGCCACTTAATTTGAAATAAGCTGTAGCGCCTTATATGAGAATCAGATATGAAAACAAATTCATCGGATGTATCGGCTTTCAAAACATATTCTTATACAATTTAATTACAATGTTGCCAGCAGTTTCGGCAAAATCGTAAAAAATATGTAAATTTTTTTCCTTTAACGCCTTTTATCTTGAAAATGAATGGCGTTACAAAAAATTTTTACTAAGCAAACCCCAATTATTCTTCAGTTTTTTACCTATCCTAGAGACGGTGTTGCATTTTTTTAAACACCCTGTATACAGACCAGTCTACAAAATGTATGCAGTCGCAGGTTCTGTTGAGTGTTTTATTTAATAAAATAATAGTGTTATAATAGTTTTATTTATAAACTAATGCGCTGTTGGATTTATTTGTTATGGATTGAATTTTATATCATAGACTAAAACGTATTTATTTTTCATCATATATTATTTTCAAAAATCATACACTTAATACGAATATAATTTCAGACTTCGCTAGAACAACTAGGACAACAATTTATAATTATCCAAAAACGATTAATTTCCAAATTTAAAGTTAAAAATCCTACTCCGTTAACAAACTTGGAGATTTTAATGAAAGATACATACGATGAAATCGACAATACTATTCAGATATTAAACAAAGCCAACAAAAAATTAACAAAAGCACAAGTCAATCTTAGTTGTGTTTTAAATTTAATAGGACATTTAATAAAAATTATGGATATGGACAACAAGATGAAGGAAGAAATAGTATCCGTATTTTGTCCTAGTGTTGATGACATAGAAAGTCAAGTAAGTATTTTTGTAATATATTTTAAATTAATACTTAGTTGTAAATCTTGAAACTTGTATGGAAGTGGTAAGTACCGATCTTCTCAAATGGCAATTGTAGCTTTGGAAACTGCTGCACGAAAGACTTTTCCCTGTGCTTTACGTTCCAATATGATTCGGAGTAATTTATATCTTTCACCTCTCAACACATGACCCAAGTACAGTATTTTATTCTGTTTGATCATACTTGGGGGATCATAAATGTGGGTTCAGAGGACTTCCCTGAAATAATACATCAGAAATTAGAGCCGCCCTAAAACAAATGAAAAATGGGAAAACACCAGGAGAAGATAAAATTACTTCAGAGATGCTAAAAATGGGGGCACTGCATTAGAAGAGGCAATAAGAGCATTACTGAATAAATGCCTATTGGAAGGACAAATACCGAAGGCATGGAAAAATGCGGAAGTCATTCTACTCCATAAAAAAGGGGACGCCGCCAATATAGAAAACTACCGACCAATAAGCTTATTGTCACACCTTTACAAACTACTAACCCGAATAATAACAAATAGATTGACAGCTAAACTAGATGCATACCAACCAGTGGAGCAAGCAGGTTTTCGTAAGGGTTTTAGCACTATCGATCACTTTCAAACAATCCGGACAGTTATTGAAAAAACAATAGAGTACAACATACCACTACATCTGGCATTTGTCGATTATCACAAAGCATTCGACAGTATCGAGAAATAGGCTTTCTTAACAGCCTTGGACGACGCCAGAGTAGATTCAAGATATGCTGTTCTCCTTAAGAATATATACGATGATGCTACTTTTCACGTAAACATAGATGATGATCTGGAAACTATGAAAATAGACCTTGACAAAGGTGTGAGACAGGGCGACACCATCTCACCCAAGTTATTTACTTTGGCATTAGAAAATGTTTTCAAAAAACTAAATTGGGCCGAAAAGGGATTAAATATAGATGGAGTATATCTTAACCATTTGCGTTTTGCAGACGACATAGTACTAATAAGCACAGATATCCATGAACTAAAATCAATGCTACAAGATTTAAATCACAAATCGAATCAAATAGGATTAAAAATGAATCTCGACAAAACAAAGATATTAAGCAACAGCCTAGAAAACATCACGATAGATAACATCAATATAGAAAAGGTAGAACAATATATATATATATATATATATCTATATTGGACATGCAATTAAAAACGAAAAGGAAAATCAAACCCTAGAAATTAAAAGGACACAATTGTCATGGGCTGCTTTTGGTAAGTTGAACTTCATTTTAAAAGACAGAAAAATCCCAATTCACTTAAAACGAAAAACCTATGACACTTGTATACTACCAGTTGCAACTTATGGATTGGAAACTATGGCAATAACAAGAAAAATGGCAGAACAATTAAGAGTAATGCCCCTGAAGATGCTATTTTAAGCGAAAGTACTTGGGCTAGATTTAATTATCTTGTGCTCGATAATAGCCTTATTTTCAAAGTTTAATTAAGAGTAACTCAACGGGCCATGGAGAGGGCCATGTTAAATATAAGCCTCAGAGACAAAATTCCTAACACCGAAATACGTCGAAGAACTAAAGTAACCGACATCATGGGAAAAATAGCGACATTGAGATGGCAATGGGTAGCACATGTAGCAAGACAAGACACCAACAGATGGTCTCATAAAGTGACATTCTGGAGACCTCGAGAAACAAAAAGAAGCGTGGGAAGACCTAAAAAGAGATGGATAGACGATATAACTGCTGTAGCTGGAAAGCAGTGGATGAGAATTGCAAAAGAAAGGGAAGCGTGGAAGCAATTGGAGGAGGCATATGTCCAACATTGGATAAATGAAGGTTGAAGAAGAAGAAGAAGAAGAAGAAGATCATACTTGGTAACTTCTTGTACACATGGAATTCTCAGAATTCGTCTGTATATCTACATCTTAAAGGCATCTATTATTATTTCTGTTTCAGAATCAATTGTCAAACTTTCACGTTAAAACAGCAATACAGAGGCTTTCTTGTAAAAAATGTTTTCATCTTTATGAATGTTTTCCTCGCTTGTTCGATTCTTGATAGGATTTCTTTTTTTTTGGGTTACACTGGATGTTGATATTGTTCCCAAATATTTTATGGAAGTTACTTCTTCTATTATTTGTCCCTTGGAACACAAATGTATCTTTATTGGTAAGTACAGATAATCATGTTGCAAGTACAGATTAATGTGTACAATTAAGAAACAAGACATATGGATGACGTAGAAATAAGAACACTGACAGAATATTTCTGGATTGCAGTTGTTATAAACAACAGGTTACAGTGCAATTTAATAAGTTATTAACCTTGAATCTTTAACTTTATTAACCTATAAAAAATTAACCACTGACTTTTTTTTTCGCTTTATTAGAAATGAGTTGCAAACGTTTCGGTGAGATTAAAAAAATATCATTTGATATTCTTGAAGCAGTGGTTATTGACAGATACACTCTGGCAGTCTAAGTGGAAGTCACACAAGGACGATTACCCGAATATCTTTTCCCAAAGGAATTGCCATAAGGATTGATATTTTTATACTTCCAGTTTTTTATGATTTGTAGAAGGTTCTTCGGAACAACTTCAGAGGGAATAATACGAGGACCATTCGAAAAATAATTTTCCCACGAATTTTAAAAATAGACAGCTTTATTTTTGTTCTTAGTATTATACATATTTTTAAAACTTAAAACTTACGCTATTTTTCGAGTAACCTCTTCTTTGACTTCATCATCGGTACTGAAGCATAAGCCACTTAAGCGTTCCTTTAATTTTGGGAATAAGTAATAACCACTTGGTGCTAGGTACTGACTATAGGTGGGTGGGGCACAACAGTCCAGTCAAAATCTCTTAGCAGTTGTTCAGTTTGATGTGAGAGATGAGGTCGAGCGTTGTCCTCTATCCTCTATCTATCCTTCAACTATCTGTCGGAGTTATCTGTTGTTTTATGAAGCAAAAAGTCGATTAACAGTAGGCTATTACTGTGCCAAAAGATGGTCGCCATGATTTTCCCAGCAGAGTTTGTTTACAGTTCTTCGGCTTCGGCGAAGTTGAGTGACGCCATACATGAGATTGCGCTTTGTCTCGAGGGTAAAGGGAAACATCCGTGCATTGTCTTCACACTGTTGCAAAAACTTTTGGACATACTCGACCCGTTGCTGTTTGTGATTTTGTGTAAGCAGTCGCGGTACCCAACGCGCACACACTTTGTGATAGTCTAATTTTTCTGTTAATATCTTATAAATTGTGGTGTGGGAAGTCTCAGGAATACGCAAAGCAAATTCGTTAGTGGTAAAAGTCTGATATGCAAGCAGTATTCTTTTAACTTTTTCGACAATTTTTTCTGAAACTGAAGGCATTCCGCTTCGATCTTCATCGTGAATTTCGGTTCGACCTTTACTGAATTTTCTACACCATTTGCGATTATGTTTAACAGATATGCAGTTTTCACTATAAACTTTGATTTACTGACAATAAATAGCAATACGTTTTGCATTTAAAAAATATATCACAGCACGAATTTCGCATCTGGCGGTAAGAGCGATCCGGAGCTCCACCTTTGACGGCTGCTAGGCCTAGGCCGACACTGAGCAATGCAGCGAGGCGAGGGCGAGAGTGGTGGGAAGAGAAAGAAAGAGAAAGGGAGAGTTATTGCGTAATGCAGTGTTCCCAGCTTGCTCCCAGCACGTCGCATTCTTTCTCAAAAGCATAAGGAAACTTTTTTCTACGAATGACTTTCGTAGGCATCATCTGGGTACCTTCCGTTTTCAATAGTCTCCGTATTTAAACTTCCAGTTCTTGTTAGGTATCACCACATCAGTTAGTGTTGTCTTTCTAGTTACTTTAATTAACAGGTATGAGATATCGTCTATTATACCACTGGTTGGACAGAGAGAATAGTGCGACCCCCATAAATGTAATTATCATTTTCAAAAATACTGTCAGAGACGTATTGACAATAAAGGAAATTGTTGGTTTTGGAGAAGTCACTTTTTGTTAGCTATCTGTGGATGAATGATCTTTCCTAATAAGTTATACCTTTATATTCAGTTGCGACAAATGCCTAGCAGCCCCCGATAAGATGATGGATGGTTTCTTGATGCTGGTGCTTGGTGAAGCTTTACGCCGAAATATTTATATGTATCATTTTCACCAACGGCCTCGAATGTTTGACCATTTTGCACATCGAATCTTTCGGGCTGAACCTTTCCTCTAATTATGTTTAAAACATGGAACTTGTTTAGTCCGAATTGCATACTAATATCATTTGGGAAAGTTTCTAGAGCCTTTAGCATCCGATCTAGGTGATTTTGAGTGGAAGACATTAATTTCAAATCATCCATATACAATAGATGATTAAATTTTGCCACTATATTATTGCTATTTTTGATGCTAAAACTTGAGTCAGTGAAGTTTAATAGGATAGCTGGGATAGGAAATTCATCGCTAGATAAACCACAGTCGATTTACCGATTTCCCTTTTTACTTATGTTGAGGTGAATTTGGGTTATTCTTTTAATTTTTTCATTATATGCTCTAAAAAGACCTTTTTCTCCTTCTCAAGAAGTCGTTTCTGATCCTCTCATGCACATAGGCCTCCCCTTTATATATCGACTATATATATATATATATATATATATATCGACTATATATTTATAAGCCATATAACTATAAGCCATTCATGCGCTACTGAGTTAATGGCTTTCTTGTAGTCAATGAAGATGTTTCTGTTTTTTTTTGTATGCCTGGTTAGGCATGACTGAGTTGTGACCAATTTATACAAAGTCGAAAGACAAGTAATTGGGCGGTACTTGGCTGTATTTTGCAGTTAACTCGTTATCTGTCCATACGAGATTAATACCCCATCGTATTCTAATCTTAATGTTCATAACATTAGCAATTTCTCTTGCTGCACAGTAAATCATCATATGAAAATATTTTAATTCACGGGCTTCTACGACATAACTGGGTAGGACTTCGGTGTTCATAATTTATAATAGTGCACCTAGTTTCTTGTAAGCGTTTTTTTTTGGTATGAACGTGCCATTTCTCTTACCGGGCTAACTTGCTCTTTGTTGTCCTACTATGTTTTATTAGATTGAGTTTCTGGTATGGCCAACAAAGGGATCTGTTCATTCTTTAATGTAATTTATTCTACAACTGCTTCTTCGTTGTGAATCTGTGTATGACTTAGCTTCTGATGGTATCGCATCTAATCTCTGGGATAAAATCTTCTTGTTTTTATGTATACATGACTATGTCTGTTTTTCAATGTGCCTCCAGTAAGTTGTCGTTCCATTGATTTCGTGTTCTTCCTACTGATCGTCTTCCTATGGGGGACCGTCTCTTGCCGTCTTTACTACTCTATTTGTTGTTATTTGGCTTTGATAGTTCTATTCTACTCATCTATTTCTTACCCAGTCCTTGATGTCCTCCACCTTGCATCTACGTCGTATATCTGTACTTCTAGCTCTGCCCTATAGTGTCTTGTCATCAACTTTTTATCTCTGTGATGTTTTCAAAGCACAGAGATACACAGGCACGACCTGACACAGAGAAGACAAAAAGGATGTGCAACATCCTTTTTGTCTTCTCTGTGTCAGGTCGTGTATAACTGTTTTGTAAATTCTGACTTTCATTTCTTTCCCGATATTTTTATTTCTCCATATTGATACATTCAGGCAGCCTAAGGGAGAGAGCCCACCAAACTGGTATGGCAAGTGGCCAGAAGCAAGTAGGGCGCGTCTAGCGTGTTACTTAAAATGTAACCAATGAAAACGAATGATTCAGCGCACACCAAGATGACAGTGACGTCATTCATTCCAATCATTAGTTTTCGTTGGTTACATTTTAAGTAACATGCTAGACGCGTGCTATTTGCTACTTGCCACTTGCTACGCCAGTTTGGAGGGCGTTCTCACTTAGACTCTGTTTGCTCTATAAACTTGATCTTCCACTTTAGTTTCGAGCTTTTCGTAGCTAGATAACGTGATCCCTAGATATGTAAACTCCATCACTTGTTCTATTGTCTGACCTTCCAGCTCCAATTTACATCTTAGTAAATTTGCTGTTGTAACCATGCATTTTGTCTTTTTTGGGCAAATTAACGTGTTAAATTTTCTGGCAGTTAGATTAAATTTGCATACGTTGTAAATCGTGTTCACTTTGAGAAAGTAGTATTGGGTCGTCTGCATAGCAGATTATTTTAAGTTGTTTTTCTTCCATTTGATATCCTTTTTAGTTCTTACTTTTTTATTATTTCATCCATAATCAGATTGAACAATAGACGACTCAGGGAATCTCCCTGCTTTATCCCATTTCCAGCTTCAATAAAGTCGGTTAGTTGTTCTTCCACTCTTTCCACGAATAAAATCGATTCTTATAATTACCCCGTATTGGTTTGCCACTCGCTGTCCAGATACTTGAATCTCTAGATACATACTACAAAATTCGGCATACAGATGTTGTCGATAGCCGATGGTTTTTGACCAAAATGTATCACCTTGTAATACGAGCGCAAAATATTTTCATTCACTTGGGTAAGTGTTGGCTAATGTTCCAACGCGGCACATTCATCGAGTGGAGCTTTTGTTGTTGTTGTTTGGCCCGCTTGTGGTTGTTGTTGGACTATAAATGATTGTATGATAGAGATCCGATTTCTTAATACTCTGTCACCGATATTCCGCCTGCTGTTAAGTCCAGGCGATTCCCATACGAATACCCTATTCGCAGGGGTAACACCTGATATAAGAACCAATAAAAACTACCGCAGGGAATTTTATTATTATTATTTTATTATTTTGTATATTTATGATTATTTTTTCTTTTTTATTAGGACTGGGAAGATGTGATGGACGCCGCTCTAAGTTACTTGCTGAGAACGTCGTTGGCAAAATCCGAGAAAGATAAATTGAGGATCTCACAATCGAATGTGGAGAAAGTAACAGATATATCAAAAATGGAGAAACGTCTTGTTCAAGTACTTGAAAGAATTTCAAAAATAGAGACACCTGAAATTGTACAAGTAGAGAGTAAGTATCTAATAGTTGATAAATAATATATAATAGTATATTGTACGAAAAATTTTAGTTTTACCTTAGAAGAATAGCATATAATTAGAAATAAAATTTAAAAATAATCAACTTTTATTCGGGATTTTCGAACTGTTGATAAATGATGGTATAATCAGCGGTGGCCGGCCAGGTGAAGTAGGTGAAGGTGAGGTTCACCAAAAAAATATAATTAAATTGAGACAAATAAATAAAAAATGAAAGCAACATTATTATATCTAAATTCTGAAATCAATTATTTATTCCCTTTTAATTAATCTAAAAATTAAAAAAGACAACTAGCTTTATTAGCGGTACGTACTTGACGCTCAAGTCCTGACCTGTGTCACTAGCCGTGTAGGATTCAGGAATAGGTGAATATCATTTTAGAAATGCGAAATCCATTTGCATAAGCGTTCACGGTTGCCATAATATTTTCACCATATATCGTGCGGCATTAGATAAAATAAGCAATAATTTATCATTAAGCACAGCAGCACGAAGAACAAAGTTTACTAATACTTCTTGTAGAAACCGTGATATTGTTAGAGCGTTGGTTTTTTCCACTTGCTTACAGGAAATTAAATAAGACTTTGGAAAGGTTTTATCGCTAAATACACCAATCAATAAGTGCACAATGTATCTTCCTGACGAGTCAGTGGTCTCGTCCACACATTCTTCTTCTTCTTACGGTGCCTATCCGTTCCGGATGTTGGCGATCAACATGGCTATCCTAACTTTGCTTGCTGGTATTCTGAATAGTCCGGTTGTAGATGTATTAAACCACTTTCTCAGGTTTTGAAGCCAAGATATTCTTCTTCTCCCTGGTCCTCTCTTTCTAAATACCTTGCCCTGAAGAATGAGTTGCAACAAGCCGTATCTCTGTTCATTCCTCATAACATGGCCAAGATGATGGCCTCATAACACCATCTTTGATGGTGTTAATAATCTCGCATTCCTTGCCTATTCTACGTAGGACCTCAACATTAGTCACACGATCCACCCATGAAATTCTTAAGATACGTCTGTAACACCACATCTCGAATGCCTCGAGTTTTCTTAAGGAAGCTTCGGAAAGTGTATAGGCCTCTACTCCGCATAATAAGGTAGAAAATACATATCATCTAATGAGAGAGATTTTGGTAGCAAGTGGTAAATCATGACTTCTGAAAAGAGACTTTATCATTATGAACGCTGATCCCGCTTTTCCTATGCGTTGTTTTATTTCACTGGAGTGATCCCATTGGCTGTTAATGTTGGTACCAAGGTATGTGTAGCTGTCCACTCTGTCAATTGGATGTTGATTAACCAAAAGCTGTGTATTTAATATTTCGCGCTTACTGACTACCATGTACACATATGTAAAAGTAATTCTTGTCTATTTCGGCTTTTATGTTGTGGATAACTGAGGAGTATAATAGAGTTCGTTCACTGGGAATGTTTTGTTTGCAATATTTTTTTAAAAAAGAACTAAAGTTTTCATTAGATAATTTTCAAAACGGTATATTAGAAGATACTAATGCGCGACACAAGTCTTCGTTAAAAGTTTTTTGTTCGGTTTGATTTTTGGAACTTGACTGAAAGCACTTGGACACTGAATGTTGATATTTTTCACCGAATGTGGTTTTACTGTTTTAGCTAAATGTTTCGCGGTTCTGACATGCTGATCTATTTGAAGTTTTTTTTCAGATGAAATCTAAAAAATAATATAAATATTCTATAGTTGTACCTGGTTGTACCCATTTTTAAAATCCAAGATTGTAGAAATATACTTACAATGAACCGTTTTTGCATAACAATTAAAATATTTAAATTAAATCAAATAAAAATCAGTGACGTAATCTTGAAAATGTCAAGAAATGACTGTGCAAGAAGGAAGAACCCCGAACTAGCCTTGTATCGGTACTTTTCTTAAACATGATCTCCTATTTTAAAATCTTTGTTTGTACTACCGTGTAAATTTTTAAAATAAAATAAAAAATAATATGTATGTACTTACGGTTTTGCCACAACATGAGCAATAAAATTTATCCATATCCATAGATAGCTCTTTGTAAGGTTTTATCCAAGTTGAAATATTGCTTATTTTCGGCATTTTCAAAGCACAATCATTATTCACAATTAGAAATACGTGTTGTTTACGCCTCCAATTTTACACCAAAAGTGAAACTGGCCGTCAAAATAAAAATTTTTACCTAAGAGACATAAACTGGTTTACACAAACCCTTAATTTCAGAACAAAACGTGACAAAACTATAAGCTGTTGTCTTGTATTAGTTACTATATCAAGAATTTAAATACCAAGTGATTATAAAACAAAATTAAATATTGGCATTTTCATGTTATCTATAAGTTTGAATATAAAAATATATAGTTAACACCAAATTTTCAAATTATATGCACTTTATGCTCACATTTATAAAAATATGCAAAATTTGCCATTTTTGCATTTTTTATGCATTATATGCAAAATATGCAAGTTGCATATTTGCCTAAGTCTACTAATGACATATGCCAATTATCATATTTGATGAATCATTAACAAGGCTGGCATTTCTGTCTGTATGTTCTAATAGAACCAGCTTAAGAATGTTCTGTAATTTTTTACCAAATGAGAACTCTCCTAAAAAGTGATACTTTAAATACTTGACGTAAGTGAAACATTGTAAACGTTAAATTAATTATTTATATCATCATTCTATTGTAGCAGAGCTCTAAAGATGGCTTTGTAAGCCGAAAGCTGTCAGCTAGAAATTAAATGTTTACACGCAAAAATACTTTTCATTTTTCATTCTTTGATTTGTCATAAAAGTGTAAAAATGAGTTTATAATTGATAGAAAAAAGTAATTAGATTTTTTTATAGATGAAAATGAAGAAGAAGAATTGCCAAAACCAGAAATAGAACATGAAGATGAAAAACCGGTGGGAAGTCAACTCGGCCAGGCAAGCATGCGCTTGTTGTCGGCGAGGCGAAGTTTATTAAGAAAACGCCACAAAAATGAAGAAGATTAAATAAAGATACTCCTCACAAAAAATATTATGGCATAAGATAATTGTAACTATATATCCTAAACATTTTCGTAAATTCAGGTAATAAAAATTCCGAATATTTAACAGCCATTTTCTTTTTCCTACTTCGTTTGCCCCTTTGTAAGGTTGCAAATGATGGAGCCAATGAGCCAATTCTAACATAGACACTGCTATATGAAATAATTCCCCTAACGACAGTCGAAGCCATTCTCCCATATTTTTTCTCTCTCTTCATTCTTTAGTCCATGATTTTAGCTGATTTTGCTTTGTTTTGGATTTAAACAATACTTTACAAAAATAAAAAAATGTTTTTTGCTTATTAAACGTTCTTAAGTTGTTAAGAGAAAAATGGTACAACTAAAAATTGTAGATCTTAAAATGTTCTTCAATGTGCCAGTTCTTAAACTAAAATAAATAAATAATTCAACAATATTGTTGCAAAAAACTCTTAATTTTGCAGTAATTTATAAATGTTAATAATTTTGTTTTTTGAATAATGGCATGTAATATAACTACTTAAAATTCTGGCAGTTAACGAGATATTAAAGTGTGCTAAATTTCAAATAGATCAACTGAATACTTTATAAGTTACTCAGTTTGTTTATCCCGGAGAGCAATAATTTAAACTACTGTTCTTGCCCAAACCATCATTCTAAAGGTATTCTGTAAATCTAAAGCGATTCTATAAGGGTATATTTAAGGGTCCCCATATGCCGTAGAAAGTGACACACCTAACTTTATTTACACTATAAAGGTAGTGGTTCATCCCTTTTAGATTATTCAGGTTTAATTATATTTTGTTTCGACTTTTTAATTATCTGAATTTTTATCTCTTCTACTAAAAAATGGTCGATGTATGGATACTATTGTTTTAATTTTTTTGTATATTAGGATGTCATCTATTTGATTTCCATCTATTGTGTTAAGTTCAATACATGTTACTTTATGTTCCTCACTATGTTTGAAATTTGTGTTTACAATACGACTGTTTATAATTACTGCTACTTGTTGGATATTTTTTTTTTATAAAAACTTCTAATTCGTCATCAATTTGCCTCGTGTTTCTCAAGGTACAACAAGATTAATTTTGTGTTCAAGGTTTATTTTGAAGCTCTCCCAGCCAGTTTTTTTTATTAATTAATCTTGGATTGAACTCTTTTCTAGAAAATACTCCCATAATAACTTCTAGTAAAAAAGGGAACAACTATCTAAAAGAAATCAGAGAACTCATAGTAGAAAAAAGAAAGAAAAAAATGGAAGCATTACAAACTTCCACGAGACAAAACTAGTCCAAATAATGCTACACAAAAACTATAAAGGGAGATACACAATATAAAAAATTTATCAATTGATTTGTTTTTAAATAATTTAATAGCTGAAGAGACCAATTATTCATTCTCTTCCTATCAAGTTAAAAAACGGCAACTGGACTAGAAGTAACGAACAGAAAGCAGAACGATTTGCAGATCATGTAGAAAGCACATTCAAAGCCAACGACAATGATGGTGAAGAACCGATATGGGAAGAAGCATTCAAAATCGAAGAAAAAATAACGTTGACATCATCTAGAGAAGTATAGTGCCAAAAGATATAACAGAGAATATAAGTCCTAAGAAAGCTCCAGGATATGATCTCATAACAGGAGAACTATTAAAAAATCTGCCAAGAAAAGCCATAGTTAAGCTGACCCACCTAATAAATGCTGATTTTAGATCGAGATATGTTTCCAGACTCTGGAAAGTAGCCGAAGTCATTATGATCGCCAAACCAGGTAAACCTCCGAATGAAGTGACATCCTATCGACCAATATCACTCCTTCCAGTGATGTCAAAACTATTAGAAAAAACTTATATTGAAACGATTAAAACCAATAATAAAAAGGAAAAATCTTCAAAGACTCACATTCCACTATAGATCAATTTCACAGAATAACGAATATAACAGAAAAAACATTAGAAGAAAAGAAAGTCTCCTCTACAATCTTCTTGGACGTAGCAGAGGCGTTTGATAAAGTCTGACATGAGGGTTAAAACTATAAACTAAGAACGTTCATGCCTAAACAGTATTGAAAAATCTTAAAATCATACATTGTGAATACATATTTCAGAGTAATATATCAAAAATTAATCCCATAAGACTACAACGGTGAGTAAGACAAGGAGACAGCATCTCTCCCAAACTATTTACCCTTGCTCTAGAAGATATTTTTAAGAAACTGGAATGGAACAATAAGGGTATCAACGTCGACGGATCATACTTAAACCACTTGAGATTCGCAGATGACATAGTTTTAATAGCCGATAATATCCAAGAACTAAATGATATGTTACAACAATTAAATGCAGTTTCAAGAGCGGTAGGCTTAAAAATGAATTACAGCAAAACAAAAATACTGAGCCGAGACCAGACAAATATAACAATACAAAATCATACCATAGAAAATGTGGAAAAATATGTACATCTAGGTCATGTTATCAAACTAGGAAAACCAAATCAAGATGCTGAAATTAAAAGAAGAACACAACTGGCTTGGGGCGCTTTCGGCAAACTAGCACATATCTTGAAAAACACCTCCATTCCTATAAACTTAAAGAAAAAGGTGTATAACACATGCATACTACCTGTTTGTACCTACGGCTTGGAGACAGTAGCACTTACCAAAAAATCTGCCAAAAAATTAGAAACAACGCAAAGAGCAATGGAACGAACCATGCTTGGAATATCACTAAGAGACAAGATTAGAAACACCGAGATACGACGTAGAACGAAGATTAGGGATATTGTGGAAGAAATTACAAAAATGAAATGGCGCTGGGCAGGTCACGTAGCCCGATATAATGACAACAGGTGGACACGGAGAATTCTAGAATCGAGACCAAGGATGACAACAAGAAGCATGGGAAGACCTAAAAAAGATGGGTAGATGACATAAGAGCAGTGACAGGCAAACAGTGGATTAGGTTGGCGCAAGATAGAGAAAGATGAAAGCAATTGGGAGAGACTTACATTCAGGAGTGGATGGAAAATGGTTGACAAAGAAGATTTCAGAGTAAAACAAAAAGAAGTGTACACCGATTTAAAGGAGATCAAAGCTGGCGTGCCACAAGGGAGTGTATTAGTCACATAGTCTCCAGAGATTTCAAAACAAAGTACTGAGGAACATTGTTGATGCTCCTTGGTATATCCTTAACAGCAACCTCCATCAGGACCTGAGTATGGAAACTGTGACCGAAGTAATCAAGAGGATAGCAACAAGTCACGAACAGAGGCTGCATAGTCATGTAAATGTCGAGGCAATCCAGCTTCTTAACAACACTAACTAAAGAGAAGACAAAACCATTTGAGTTAGTGTAAATGTGTAAAAGTTTAGTGTAAAAAGTAGAGTATAGTGCTGTGATGTTATTGCATGTTAGCTGTAGTGTATTAGTTGATAGTAGTGTTGCCCAAATGCAAGAACAAGACGAGACTTGGACAGTCTTGGTCTTGGTCTTGCATCAATACACCTGGTCTTGGTCTTGATCTTGGTATTGCACTCCCGGTCTTGGTCTTGGTCTTGGTCTTGCAGCAAGAGTCTTGCAGTTACCCATTAGCCTATTGCTATTTATTAAACGTTACTTTAAATCTTAGAACAACGTAACAGAGCAAGTACATTTTAAGCTGGAGTTAATATAGCCGTAATAAAGGCCAACCAAACTAATAAATGTCTAAACAACTGACACCGGCTATAGTTTGAAGCCACGATCTAAGCGATCCGTACCTATGCTCTAACTAACTCAGCTATCTACTATGCACCACAGAAGTCAATCTGTTTCTTAATAATTGTGTGCATTTAATAAACTTACATGAGCTAAAACATGGTTAAATTACAAAAAAAAAACAAATTAATGACATAAACTTAACTGTATTTTAAAGAACATTATCTGCCTAGAAAGAAATTCCCCATATATGAAATGGAAACCTTAAAAAAGATTGGTAAGTGTCAAAAAATCCACATACAGGTATCAAGGGCACAGATTATTTAGGTAATAAGATAACAAAGTATATTGCACTTATTAAAGCAATATAAATGTTCTTAACAATCTTAGCTTAACTTTTATATAAAAAACTAACTTGGAAAAATAAAGAATGGTAAAAAAGCAATAATAATCAAAAGAAATTATTTTAAATTAAGGAAATATCTACTTAATAAATACATTAATTTGCCAAAATAAAGTAGTAGGTACATAATATTATGTGATAAGCTAATAAGTATATATTTTACATGTCCACTTTTCCAGTGGTTATTAAAAACCTTGTGGTATCTCCACCGAATTTTGGTTTTTCAAGAAGAAATATTTGTAATTCCTTTTTGTGAAAAGATATTAGATGCTTCCTTAAACCTGACGTGTTTCTGTTTTTCATTTTCATTTCAACCTTTCTATGTAGGCATAATTTACACAAAGCAATTTGGGATACATGAATTATTTCTAAAAACTCATAAAATTTGCTTTTAGGTCTTTCAGATCTACAATTCCAACGCTCACTACTCCGACTAGTACTATTTGAATCTTTGTCCCCATGTCAAATTGTAAACTTGTCACTCCGGGAAAAACAAGGATTGGATGAAAAACAATTATTATTACATTAGAATAAAAGGAAAACTTAATTGGGAATGAAGTTTAGTGTTGTCGAAAAAGTAACTACTACTATAATAGTTACTTTATGTCCGTTAATATCCAATACCCTAAATCTCTAATAACAAATCGAGAATTATATATCGTTATTCTAAATATGTCGGTATTTTGTTTACACTGTAGGCGACATTATCTGTTATTAATTTGTCTCGTTACTTTTAAATAACCCCCTCTGTGGCTCAGTGGTAAGAGCGCCTGCCTTTAAATCTAAAGGTCGTGAGTTCGAATCCCACCTGGGTGGAAGTTTTCGTTTATTAAAAAAAAAAATTAATAAATGAAGATAATTTCTATCCTTGTGTGATCGGTACACACCGGAGGGACCGCAGACGTTCGGATACAATTAGCGTCTCTTAGCAAAGACAATGACGTCGACTTTGCTAAGTATCAAGACAATTACTCTACACACACACACACACACACACTACACCTCAAATTGTAAGATTGGCGAATGGATTTAGTGTCCGCAGTCATTTAAACACAAACAAACAACAACAAATACTTTTAAATACATATTAGCTGCGCACTTTCAGCAAACTTTGTTTAATCGAATGATGTCATGGCACACTCAGCAGAATTTTGACTATTAAGCAACAGTTCCAATATTTTATATAATGAACAATGAATGGTTTCGTTATTTGATAATGCAATTTTTGGTCGGCATTTGTGGCACCAACATTCGAGTAATCGCAAAACATATTATGTTATCTTTTCGGTACAAGGAATTTAAAAATTTCTTTAATTGCCGAGCTGATAACAAAGAAAATTCACAGTTTTAAATAATATACTTTCGTATTTTATCATTAAAGATAAAGCCTCTAGTTTGGTGTAATTTTATTTATTTAAATACAATTCCAAATTCCAATATTAGTGTAATAATAAATTTCTTGTCTTTTAATAAGTCAAAATAAAGATTTGTTCAATTTATATATTTCGTATCTGGTGAACACAATGAAAAGACCCTTACAAAGATTTGCAACAATCGTCTAACCACATATTTATAATGAAAAGATGGGTTAGACTATTTTTACAAATTCCTGTTTATATTATTTGACGAATGTGGTTAATTTTTATTACATATTTTTTTGCGTCTTATAAAGTCTTTAAAAATATACCGGAACTACAATAAAACCTCCGTTAACCGAAATAATTGGGGGGGAAGCCGATTCGGATAACAAGAATTTCGGTTAAAAATAACATTGTTTTTTATAGTATTCTTGGTTAAAGTATTGGTATTAAAAAATACTATGAGGTGATTTCGTAATGTTTTCTAATAAGTAAATACAGAATAAAGTAATAAAATTAATGAAAATGAACATAACATAATGAGCATACATGCTTTTTTAAAGAAATCTTCTATTTTCTTTTGCGTTATTGTTTGACAACGATGTTTTGCAGCTATATATGTCCATCGTTCAATTGCAGAACGTCGTGAGTTTGCCTCATTCCATCGTTCGACGAAACGTAAAGCAATCTGAAAAGGACAAAACTTTATACAATGACAACCAAAAAATTAAGAACCTAGTTGTATCCCTAACTAATTAGACCTACTTTATAAAATTCTCATCCTTAACGCATTGAAAATCTCGTCGGCGGTCTCATGCTGCCTGCTGTCTGTTGAGTCGTCATCTTCGTCGTCTAATACGCTCAGGTTGTCTGGACGAAGAACCGTATCAATGATGTCCTGGTCGATGAGTTCACTTTCTGAGTCATCGGCTGCTAACCACTCACTTATCTCTTCTTGGTTAATTTCGTCACATCCCGGCAAATTTTTTATTAAAAGTTTAATTTCTTTTGTTGTTTCTTTATAATTTTCTTCTTCAGGATCGTCAATCAAAATCCAATCAAAAAGTTAGTTCCAGCATTTTGCCAAAATTGAAGAGTTGATCTTGGTCCAGAAATCAGCATACCGGTAAACAACATGTTTCATTGTTGAAGATTTGAGAATTTCGGGAACACTTTTGGATTAATTCATCTCCTGTAATAACATATGTCTTAAGAATGCTCCTCTAAAATGTCTCTTGAATATCTCTATTACTCCCTGGTCTAACAGCTGAATTAAGCTCGTTACATTTGGTGGCAAAAATTTGACAATTATCACTATTATGTAGATTTTAAGGGTTTGTTGGCGCATTTTCAACAAGCAATAATGCTTTAATGGGAAGGCTTTTTTCATTTTAAACAGGATTTTACACTTGGCATGAGTTCATTTTCGAACCATTCTGAAAATAAAGTGGTCGACATCTATGAGGTTTTCTGCCTTCTATAAAAAATTGGAAGTGATTTTTCCTTAAATATCTTTTAGAGCTCTTAGTTTTTTTGATTTCCCAAGACACTTCGGCATCAATCGGTGAGTAAAATTAATGGAATTGTTTACGTTTTGGGATAAAAATTTACTTTTTATTGACAAAATTATTGAATCTGTCACCCGTTTCGGTTAACCGATGTTTCGGTTAAAACGGTTTAGGTTAAAGGAAGTTTTACTGTACTATACTTGCTAAAACGACACTCAGTCCTAACTGCAAGACGCAAGAGTCTCGCAGGCTTAGTCTTGCTTAGCTAGTCTAGCTCTTGCTTAAATCTTGCAAGGTCAGTCTTGGTCTTGGTTTTGCTAAAATTTGGCAGTCTTGGTCTTGGTCTTAGTCTTGCAAAAACGCAAGAACAAGACCAAAACTGCAAGACTGCAAGATTTTGGGCAACACTAGTTGATAGATAAAATAAATGTAAGCCCTTAGATTTAAGTATTTGCTGTTTATTAAGGTCACAAAATAACTGACAATTGGTCATTTGTGACCAGATAGACAAGTGTTACACAAAAAATAACAATAATTAATGATAGGTCGCATAGTTGTTTCTTGTTATCATTTGTGGTGACGTGGATGGTTTCTTCTCCACTGGCTTTGTTGTTGTCCTCTTATTTTTCTATTTTTGTGTTAAAATCTCCGACCATTACTACTTTGTCCTTTCTTGGCAGTCACCTGTATCTTCTAGGTTTTTATATAGGACATTTCGTTTTGTTATTATCTGGTCATTAAAAAGGATGATTATAAACTACATTTAAATAATTAAAATGTTTTATTTTGATTGCATAAGAAATAATGCATATTATTTGAATAAAAAATGATTACTATTTATAAGTTATTGCACATATCAGTTTCTCCTTCCACAGACGTTAAAATCTGGCATCTTATAGGCTTCTTGTCATAAGTCTTGTCATCATCCTGTGCACGACCGCGGTAGTAAAATCTAAAAATAAATATGTATAAAAATGAAATAAATGAAATGAATGTATTTTTCATACACGTTTTACTTGCAGTGAAGCAGATTTCACATTAAGCGAATTTATATATGTGTACCTCGGAGGTAAAGGACACTATGTCCATTTTTATCGAAATTTAGATTATTGCACTTTTATATATAACTTTTCTGGCTCTATACATAGGTAAACCATACTATGTCCAGACACAATTTTATGGCAAGTTACCGACTTTTTAATAAACACCAAGTCCACTTCCAGTCAGAGGTAAACAACACCATGTGGACTTGGTGTTGTTTACCTCTACTAAATGTGTGTACCATCATTTGCCATCCGGACATAGTGTTATGTACCCTCAGGCCCGTTCCTAGGGTAGTGAGCGCCTGCGTGCAGGATTTTTTTTTCGCCCCCATATTATGTTTTTAAGATACCTGTATCATAACATGTTCTTGTGATATGATTGAAAATATGATATGAATGTAAAAAGAAAAATAAAACGAACCATGTTTGAAAAATGGTTTTATTTTCAAAATTAAATAAAGAAAAAAGGTCATTTTAAAACAATATTATTATGTAAGTTAACAGTAAGAAAGAAAACACTCAATTCGCAAATTAGTAAGGCATTCTGGAATATAACATGAAAGAATAACGGAAAGGAGATACTCTCAATGCAAAAAAACTTTATTAAATAATACATAATATGCCACGTCTTGCTTTCACAGATGCAAGCTCATTAATTATTTCATTGTGATCAATGGCTTCACAAATTTTATTTTCAATAGAAATGACTGCCAAATCTGATAGCCTTTCTTGGCACATTGACATTCTTAAATAATTTTTTATGAGCTTTAGCCATGGCCTGGAATCTTATATGAATGACTTGGTTCATTCCAATGTTCATTCCCCCATCACTTTGACCCCAGCGAGTTAATAAAGAGAAATGACAGCCTATCTCTCTCACGAAGACTTTAACCAATCATAAACCAAATAAAATAATCAAACGAAGCAATGTCAATTCTGTCAATCCAAATTAATAACAGATCTTCCGTTTGTTTCCAAGTTTTCAATTTTATTATATTATCTTTAACTTTCGTTTGCATTTATTCTTAGTAATTTTAATTTAAATTTAGTTACTTAATTTTTAAAGTTTATTTTGAGTTACCTATTGTAGCAAAGAATTTTTGTGTTGTGCTAGTAACAAAACTAAACATGGTGAATTATTGTATTGTTCGTTGTGTACAAATCATGGAAAAATTACAAAAAGAATGATAGTAAGTTGTCAGAAAGCAAAAAATAATAGTATTTAACTTCTGCAAATATGTGTAATAAATATTATGTAATTATTTTATAACTGTTTTATCTTAAACAACAAATAAATATACGTATATCTAGAAAAAATTGTGCATCTTATATCCTTATTTTCCAATAAATTTTAATTAGTAACGAAATAGCCCACAAGAGGCGCTAAAGGGTATGTATGTAAGGGGTGTTCATTCGAATTTACCGCCAATAGATGATTAGTATTGACCCCAGCCGCAAGGGGCCTAATGAACGAAATTTATACATTGAGTTGCCTATCTATTTCTACTATTATATTATTTATCTATGGCTTTAGCTTTGAAAAACTCCTTTCGCCAGATGCCACCGAAATTGGAAGGGTCAGGAATATTCTCAAGGCTATAAATAGATTTGGAAACAAGGATTGTAAATTTTTCTTTGTTATATAATTTAAAATATCTATAGGCGAATCCGAAATTTTGCCAGAGTCTGTGATTGGGTTAAGAACTTTGTATGACAGAATTTCATTATGCAAAATCAAGACCATCAATATCTTTGCATACGTTTCCTTCATGTTGAATTTGTAAAGCTAAATCCAAATCCATACATGATCTTTTAATCACATCAGAATCTAGATTTTGAAAATTACCCAAAAATCCAAATAAATCGTGGCACTTATCTATTCCCCCAAAGCGTCTTTGTAGGGATTGAATTGTTGTGTCTAAAATTTGAAAATAAAAACTGATCTTAAATGTTTGTTTTGGATCGAATACTGTTTAATCTGTACCTTCATACGAAAATTAAAGCTTCGTCTTTCTTTGTCTTAATAATGGAAATGTTTGCTCTGCATCACTTTTTTCTGCTTCTGCTACAGCCTCATTCATGAAAATCTCGAAATGTTTGTCTGACGTCTTTTCAGTGATATAAATAATAAGATTTTTTATTTCTGTATGGCATTCATTTAAAGTTGTATTTGGATTCTGGACCATTTTACTTAGAATATTAATTTTTGTTAATTCATCATGCCAAATTATAATAGAAAAAATGAATTTGAACGTTTTAGTTTTGTCTAATAGTGACCTTGCTGAATGTTTCGTGTTCATATCTCTTGAATTATCTTCCACCAAATCGTGTAAACTTTAACAAATTTCGAGGAATTGAAACCTAAGAGGGCGAATGGCTTTGACTCTGCTTTCCCATCGTGTTTCACTTACTGATTTTAAAGTTAAGTTTGGTACATTCCTTTTTAAAATGTGCCATCTGTAGGGTGAAGTAGAAAAAAAATTGAACAACCTGAATAATTAAAAAAAACCTACAGTCTCATATGAAATTTTAGCTGCATCATTGACACTTAAATTAAAAGTGTGAGCTGAACAAGGCAAAAACATTGCTCTGGGATTAATTTTTAGAATTTGAACCTGAAGGCCCACATGCTTGCCAAACATATTTGCCTCATTGTCGTAACCCTGACCTAGACCAGAACAATAAACGAAGCGAATTATGACCGTCAGCTGCTCAACATGGCTAGTATCTGGAGATTCATCCAAAATAATTGAGTAATATCTTGCTGTTCTGAGGCAACTCAAAATTTCTTTCTAAATATTTCTTTGATAATAAATGAATTAATTCATTTTGGAAGTAATTGCTCAGGTAATGAGGCATATTTTGGCACAACCCTTTAGACCTTCGAATATTGCTCAGGTGTTCCATCATAATTGGATCGAATTTAGCAATCATTTCAACTAATTTCAAAAAATTGCCATTATTAGTATCATAAAGATTCGTACTGTCACCCCTAAAAGCTAAATTTTGGTCCAGCTAAATACTGCACAATACAAATCATTCTTTTAATGATTTCACGGCATCGCTGTTTTTCAATCTCATAGTTTTGTTGCTTTTTATCAATAGTACATTCTTTACACAAATGCAATTTTAACTCGTGCCATTTTTGAGCGCTTTTCATACGTTCCATGCTATTTTCATGACGAGAAATATTAACAGAAAGGTGCCTCCAGTTAAAGTTACTTATTTATTTTTATTTTATTTAAATAAATAAGTTAACTTATTTTACTTACTTCTAGCAGTTTATTTGCCGCCTTAAACTTACAATTCACAATAAACTTTAATGACAATGATATTGCGAACAGAACATCCTAACCCATAAGAAAAATCTAACGACTGAATTAAAACGTTACGGTTTACTGCGCAAAAGACAATTTCGTCAGAGGCCGGCGCATCGCGCATCCTTTCTTAAGACAACCACGCTGGCGGTATGCCGGCAACACAAAACATTAAAAGTGAGCATCGTGCGGCATAAGACGGCGCGTCGTATGCTGACACTAATAAAATTGTAGGGTGGTAATTTAATTAGTAATTTTGGTATTATAATAGGAAATAGTAAACGGATGAAGTGATTGCTTGAGCACTTACCGGGGAAATACTGAACACTGACTTTTTTGTTTTAGAAGTGAGAATATTTTTTTAATGGTAACCAAATATTTGGCGCCCCTAAAATTTAGCGCCTGCGTGCGGGGCATTCATTGCATACCCGCCAGGAACGGCCCTGTCTTGTACCTGGTAAAATTGTCATGAACTAAAATTATTGCAACCTTTTTATTTAGATCGCAATTGTGTTAGATTAAAAGTTGTACAATAAATTCGTTGTTTAATAATTGCAAAATAGATCCTAACTCTCGTGGAAAAAGAATATTACAATTTCTGTCATGTAATATTCCAAATAAAACAATACTTACAGGTAAGCTATTGTTTAATAATACTGATTTTGTATTTTTCTAACCTCAAATATTTAGTTTTGTATATTCTTTTGTATAGGGCTCAGAATTTCAAACTGTACGTACATTTTTTGTATCTACCGTTAAAATAGAAGTATCAGAATGTTTTTGTTACTAGTAAAGAATTTTGTCTGTTTTTTTTTAAATGACCACAATATGGTATGATTGTTGTCAGTTATTTAAGTAACATGCATTGCCGTTTATGTTATTGTGTTGTAAGCAGAGACAGGAATTTACCAAGCAATTATCAATATATACTCGTATGAACAATATACTACAAGAGATTGGGTACAATTTAATTACCGTTGTTGTTGATACACAACATGTTGTATCACAATAATTATCGTTGTTGTTGATACCAATAGGTTAGGGTAAACAGATGTTGCTAGATCTATATTTTTTAATGGGAGTAACGGAAATTGCTCAGTAAAGTGCGGTCTTTGGTTATAAGGATTATTTTTGTGTTGGCCAATTATGGGCCTATAAAATTAGCCTATAATTATTATTACAAGGCTATATTTGTTTCAGAACCACCTGGTCACTACAGTAACTTCCAAGGTAATGGTAAGGAAGTGGACAATGATAATTTGTTTGGAGATGATAATTCGGATATTCATATAACCTATGAACCTCTAAGAGACTCTAAGAATCAGACGACAATGATATGCGATATAAAAGTAAATTAAAGCGAAAACAAAGATAAAAGAGAAAGCTATTATTACTCCTACAACTAGTGAAGCAATAACAAAAAATCTTCTTAAGGACGATTTATCCCTAAGCAGTGATGCAGGCAATTCCAATAAACATAGTGAAGTTATTTTAGAAGAAGAGAACAGTGTTAAAAGAAAGGTACAAAATGTAACTAAGTGAAAACAAACAGATAACAAACGTGTAGTAAATGAACAAAATTAGGCCTGTAA